CTAAACAATATGTTATGAACCTATGAATATAAAAAGGAATAATTTCTAGAGATGTAGGATTTTAAGGGTTATATCCCACCTATCTCATCTGAAGGAAGAAATCATCAAATTTAACAGAATAACAAAATAGAAAAGACCCCCCTCCATTAGAAAAAGCTTAAAAAAAAATGATGATGAACTACTTAAGTGGATACAAAGCATGGGTTATTGATAATTGAATGATACAAAAATAAAGTCTTAGATAAAAAGGACCTTCTACACAAAAACTTTTATTAATTTCTACATTATCTTATTTATTCTGGAGTAGAAGTTGGGAGGAAAGAATGGGCATGAATGTGTTTCCAAAGGATGTTGGGAAAATGAGAAATATGGGAGAGAAAAGATAAAGGTATTTTATTAGTCATATTTGGATGGGAAGGATCAAAAGAAGAAATAAAGTATCTTGTGAGAAAAAGTGTCTTAGTTGGAGTAATAATTGAGTCATAAGAATCTGTTAGAGCAGGACAATAAAAGGTGTACAAAGTGTTATTGTTCTAGCTTATTAGAGAGCCTCCAACTAAGTGCCCTCTACTATTTATGTAAACGAACTAGTTTGCCTTCTTTCTCTTTTAAAATGGCATACAGTGCAGTCCCGGTCCAGGGCTTCACGGGTGACACACATGGTATCACCAGGACCTATGTTTCATGCATCACTCTGCTCTGCTGTCTGTACAGTGTAAACACTTATAAGATTGCCTCACATTCCAGAGCTCAGGTGTCTCATCTGTGCTTTAAGCAGGAAGCCATGGAAGTGTAGAAAGACAAAGAACATTATATACAAGCAGCTACACCAGCTCCTTTCAGTAGCACTCCTAAGATCCACAACTGCCTCTTCTTGCTTATCATGCACCATCCTTAGCTGCAAGGGAGTCTGGGAATTTTGAAACAAATCTGATTTTCCTGTTAAGGTAAAAAAAGTAAGATGAATATAATAGTAGCTATCTAGCATTCTGCCATTTAAGACAGTAATTAATGTATGTAAAAATACACTTGAACTTGTATATCTTTTAAAGTACTATGATTTGAATGAAAATGCACAATTGAATTTGTAAAATAATAAGAGGAAAACAAAAAAGAGAAATATGACAACACTAACAAAATTAGGAAAAAAGAAAAGGGGAAAAATGTACAATAAAATAAATATAAAATAAATGGGAATATTATAACATATAGTTCTTGTAGGAAACATAATCATACCACATTTTCTCATTAAAAGACATATACCAGATTGAGTTAAAAGAAATAAAATCTAACATTGTGGTTTCTATATGAAACTCATTTGAACTGGTGACTATGAAGATTAAAATATAGGATCACATAAAGACACAAAGAAAATTCCAATAAAAAGGGAGAATGATTAATATTCATAGAAGGCATAATTTAATTAAAAGCAATAAATAAAATTAAGATAACACATGGAGAGGGTAATATTTATAAATATATACATAGAGCTATCTATGTCTGTACAGATACCACATACAAAATTTTTCATAAACTTATGTATAACAACCAACAAAGTAATTATCCACATAATAGTTTAGATCTTCTAGAGTACCATCAGTAGCATTGTTCTAGTAAATAACTTATTTTCCAGCATTTCTTTTAGATATAAGCAGAAATATCCAGATGAGTTTCACTAAAAATTCCTTGAAGTAGGCCAAATCATTCTGAACACAGTTCCTTTATCCTTTTGCTCAAGTAAAATGTGGGTGAGACATCTCGAACACCAGCAGTTGTCTTATGAAAATGAGGTGACTGAGGAGTGACCCTGAGGGTTACAGTACAGCTATGACAATGTGATTCTGGGAATGAAAGCTATATGCCCAAGATTAAAGAATAGAAAGATGGACATCACCAAATTTTCCAGTGATGCATAGAATTTCTATGCCTGTCTCAGATTGCAGGTTTACTAGAAAAATGAATCCCTATCTTGTCAAGACTTATTTTAACTCTTTAGCAATAGAAGCTCAAGAGAATTTAACTAGTGCACAGAAACTTTAATAATACAACTGTAATAGATTTTTAAACTCTCTCAAATATGAAAAACAATTACTTATTTATCTTTATATAATTAAATTTTAGCTGAATATATATATATAATATATAGCCATGAAACAATTAATGTGTATTTCTTACCAATGAACAAAGCTTGAACAGCAGATAGATATTTTGCTTTTAAATTGTACTCAAATTATGAAATGTACTTGACATTGTGTAATTTATAAATATATGTATATGCTGTGTGACCTAAATAAAGGTCACATAAGGGACTTTTTGTTTTAATTTACATTTGCAGGATACTAGATATTGTTTGTTTGCTAGTAAAAGTGTTGCTAAATCCTTGGTCTCTGTCTGGTACTGAATTTAAGTTGTAGGATGTAATATCTTTCAAATGGCAGAATAAATATTTCCAATAAAACACAGTATCCTCCCAAATCAAATCTCAAACTCTTAGTGTTAGTGGTAGAGCAAATTCTCTTGGGTTTCAATAATGGTAACAATGTCAGAGAGGTTCTGTGTGGCCCATTTAAAGACCATTATATTACATTATTTTAGGTAAAGGATATATGCAAAAATGGTAATATATAAGTGAGTTTTAGCAGTCATGATCTTTGGTGAACTACACAGAAGATACATTTTTTTCCCTTGTCCTTTTGGTTATTCTTTTAAATTTGATTTTCATATAGATTTGTGTTCCATTATATTCTAAATATAATGCAATTCCAAAGATGTCTAGTGGCTTATAACCAGGCATACATTAAAAGATGGGAAGCAGTGTGAATGTACATATTCATAATAGCTGTCTAATATTTTCCCCTCAGTAGACTAAGTCATACTGTATATTTCCACCCAACTGAAATATTATAAATCACTTTTTAATATCTTTTTATCTGAGCAAGAAAAAATCATTTGTATGACAGACATGTAAATTTAACTTAAAACTACAAAACCTAGTTTGAGGCTTGATACTGTGGCCATAAATCATATGCAATAACATTGTAAATGAGATAACTGTAACATTATATTCTCTGGGCAAGGTTAATAGATTCAGTTCAAGTCTAGCAAGAAATTGTAGCTGACATTTTCCCATTTCTTTCAGAAAAGGCTTTATAAATCCTCAACTTCTAAATTGGACTGGATTAGGTCCCAGTGGAGAAAATCCTAGATTTAGTGTTTTTAATTTCCTAAGTTACTGAGTAGGAACCAACTTTATAACTGTAGTCAAATATGGCTTGAGGACTTTAACAGTTAGGTTATTTTTGTTTTTGCCATCTGATTTCAATAATAAAGCTAATCACACTAACAATAACAAAGGAAAATGATGGTAAAAGTAAGAGTAGTCTAGACTTTTGAGAAGCCAGTGAATTTGGTTAATTTAGATTTAACATTGGAAAGAAATACAAATGCACCTTTTCTTGGGTGGCTAAACAAAACAAAGCAGGTCTACTACTTCTCTTTCAACTCTCAGCTCTTTACCCTAGTAACAGAATATTTACATTCTGCTGTGTCCTGTTTCTTGCTGCTATCAAGCTGTCCTCTGAAAATTCGCTCAGTGGGTGACCCTAATCTCTACTGTGCCATGATGTCCCAAGGCCTGGAAAGCTCTGCTCCTGAATATATCCTGTGTAAGAACTTTCCAGGTGACACATTGACATGGAGCACTGGCTTACAAGACCTTTAAGACCCTGAGTAGGTAGAAACTGAAGGATCAGCAAGGTGAGGAGATTGTTGTGCAGAATCCCCCACCATTTTCTACACTTTCTATCTGTCAGGGCCCTGACTTAATCTCAGATCTTCAGATACCAAGATTACTTAGATGGCTTCATACTTACCAAGTTCCTGAGGTTTTCCTGTGCATTCACATCACATCATTCCTCTTGGAATTCCATTCTATTATCTCAATCTGCTCTTCTAATCCTATACAAGCATCTCTGTCTTTCAAGGATGAGATGCACACTTTCCTGACAATCTTTTCAGGCCTTCCCACAATAAGCCAATTTATCTGAACATTTGCCCTCCTTCTCTTCTTTAGGTACAGGGAAATTCACTCTAGTGCTTAGTTTGGATGCTCACAAAATTCAAGTGAAATAACACATTATGCTATATGGAGTCTATCTGGTTAACACATGGCTCAAAGATCAGATGAAAATTCACCTGATCCTTGAAATTTGACATGGCAAATTTAGTCTACATTGACTTTCTCTTTTTTGAGTTTCCTGTAGACTTAAAATAATGCTAGTATCACATTTAATTTCCTTTAGGTTGCATTATGGTCATTCCTTGAGTATTACCATGATCTCCTCAACTAGACTATAAATTTTTTTAGGTCAAGGATCATACCTTTTTGTATTTTTTGTATTCCTTACAGGTTCATTAAAGTTCACAATGAACAAACAGTAACTGACAGTTAAACTTGAGTTAATGTTTTAGCAGGTTTAAGTCCTTTTCTTAAAGGCTTAGCTGTTCTAGACATATTTCAACCAGACTTTCTTTTCTCCATTGTCTGTTTGTAACCAGGTTGTGTGTTAATATAATAAATCTTTCCATTTTTATTTAATCATTTGATCAAATTACTGTTAAAATTGATGAAGAATTATTATATTGTCCTTTTAGGGTGATTTGGGAATCAAAAAGGTGCTATCCTTGAACATCTTTGCTTCCTTAACAAGCAATAACATGTATCTAAGATGTACCTTCAGCTCTGTGCTTCAGGAACTGGATATTATCTAGAGCTTTTGTGCTGCTTGTAGTACTATATTCTCTCTCTGCCTCTCTCTCTCTCCCTCTCTCTCTCTGTCTCTCTCTATTAACCCAGATACTGCTTGGTTAAAATCCACACAGGTCCTAAAGAGTGGAGATTATTTAGCCATAATTTTACTTTAGCAGTGCAAACAGAACATATAATGAATGTATTTAATGTTGAAATCTCTGATGCAAAGATTCTTTTGTATTTTAATTAGATGCAACATAGTACCCCCAGGCTTACGGCACTTACTTTCGTAAAAAGACTGGCCAAGAATGAAGAATGATATTGACATCTGCCTTATGGAATAAAGTATTACCATCTATCTTTCAAATATCAGTCTCATAAAGTAAGGAGGTTAGTGTTTGATAATACAAATTATACCTCATAATTGAAAATTATAACTGTTTTTAGGATTATGATTTTAAAATCTTTATCATAGACATAATAACTTGTCAAAACAAACTTATATGATTGGCAGAAACACCTACTAGCCTCTGTCCCAAAATTTCATTATTTATTAAAACAAATTTGATGAAAAGATAGCTTTCTATAAGTTCTTTGGTGACAGTATCTGTTTAGCATCAAGTAAATGGTTCATAACTTTAAAAGCTTCAGTTACTAGTTTGCACTATAGTTTTAAAGAAATTACCAATAGATTAATATATTGAATTATTTTGTCTATTTTGTTATTTTGTTTATATTTTGTTCATAATATTGTTCATTGTCAATTGTTTATTTTGGTGTTATTAATATTAATATTAATTGAATCCCTCCATAAATACCTTGGAATTTCTTTAAAAAATAACTGGTCTAGAGACTTTGTGGGTTACAAAGAAATGTAAAAAAAAAAATCCTGTGTATGAAGTCTGATTAAACTATAGAGTGGGTGTTTAAATTTTAAAAAGTGCTTATAATAAGAAATGTATTGTTATTAATCCCCCTGAAAGTGCTCCCCCTTGTTTTGAACACACTTATCTCATCATTCTTGCCACATCCTAAAGCAGTTCTGAAAGTCCTCTTTCATGAGTATCTTTAGTTGTGCTCTTATAGCTACTTCAACATCCTGAATCCATTCAAAACTGTTTACCTTTCATGGTCATTTTGACTTTGGGGAAGAGCCAGAGATTGTATGCCATATCTAGTGAATAAGTTGGATTAGAACTCACTGTTTTTACCAGCCCACTTTTCCATTTGATAGCACTCGGCAACAGCATTCACTGTCTCTCTGATCACATCTCATAAAGACACTCATTAAACAATACTCCCAGAACAGCTTCAGAAAGTAAAGAATCAAAATGTGCTATGTACACATACCAACTAACTGCAATGAATGTAATCTTTAGGTATAACAACGTGTACTAACAAAAAATATATTTAGAAATTGAGATAAAATTTAAATAAAATAAAATTACCCATAAAAACAGAAACTAGCAGGAATGATGGGACAAGTGTGTTCAAAATGAGGGAGTTAATGGCAATATGTCTTTTACTATAATAATTATTTTTAATTTAAATATTCACCATATAGTTTGATTGCACACATATATCTATATGTATATAATATAGATGCACACATAAAATTATAATGAGATTAAAATGTACTTCCATGAGACAATGCAGTTAATTGATTAAATGAACAATATAAGTAAACATTGTAAGTGGAGGGGATATTATCATTGAGTAGTGGTTGAGCCAAGTGTGGTGGCACAAGCTTGTGATCCCAAGCTTGGGAGGCTGAGGCAGGAGGATCACTGTGACTTCAAGGACAGTCTGAGCTACATAGTGAGACCCTGTCTAAAAAAAAAAAAAAAGCTGGGAGGAGATGAACTAGATTACACCTTACTTGGAAAACAAAAGGCTCCACTGGGTGTGATGCCACTTGCCTGTAATCCCAGCATTGGGAGGCTGAGGCAGGAGGATCACTGTGACTTCAAGGACAGTCTGAGCTACATAGTGAGACCCTGTCTAAAAAAAAAAAAAAAGCCGAGTAGGGGTTGTCAGAAAAAGAAATTTCCAATGAAAGCTCTATACACTGTGCCCTTGAGATTCATTGTTTTAACATTTTAAGCTTCTATTCTACTCTTTTCATAACATTCCCCAAAGGCCCACTTTATATGGATTTATACTTTTGCTGAGAGAAGATCCTACAGTGTATAGCATTTGAAGTTGATGGAGAGTAAGAACAGCTGAAGAAACTCTACAATCTGTCTTCTTTTCAGCTTAGCTTTCTTATTATCCACCATGGTATTCATCAATTTGGAAATGAAGATGTTGGATGGATCATTATTCTTGAATAGCAAGTTTTCTTCACTGAGTGTTCCATAGCTGCTGAGTTTTACACAATATTATAAGCCTTCAATTGCAGTGAATGGCACATTGAAAGTCCTCAATATGACCTTGAATGTTTATGTGGATGAGGGACAGATCCATATGCTTTCAGTATGGCAGTGATAAATGGTTCATGTATTAATTAAAAGGAAGGTAAATTTGAAAAATCTCTTGGGTCATGATGGAGAGGACACTGAATCTTAAGTCAAGCCCTCATATTGTAGATGATTTTTAAAAGTGCACTGCCCATACTAAAAATTATCATGAGACAAGAACCTGTATTATTTTATAACCAAATATACAGTACATGGGAATATTTAATAATGGGAAATTAGTATTATATATGAATCCCTTAAAAGTGTACAGACTCTTTACATGACAATATGGAGGCCAAGAGAGACATTGTAGCAAGGATATGAAAGGGTAATGTTATGAATTATTTTGCTAATTATTTTACTAAGTAGCCAAAATAAATAAAAATAATATTTAGATATTTTTGATAAATCAAATACTATAGCTTATACTCATAAAATATTTATCCTTTCTCCTAAGTTGTTTTTGTTTAATATTGTGATTTTTAGTTCTTTTTATATATGTTTACATCTATCGATAAGTAATGATATCTATGGGATTATGCTATTAAAATGAGTGTTTCACTTTTTACCCTCTATTTACACATGCTAATTTATTTTTCCATAGTTCAGTTCTATATTTCAAATAAATCTCTAAAATTTTATTGGATTACTTACTACTATTAGCACACTTATTTTTCTATCACCTTCTCTTTATCCCTTTCAACATTAACAAGGTTGAAAATTAATTTTTGCCCTTTAAACAGAAATTCACCTCCTATTGAGTACAATAAACAAACAAAATCTTGAAAAGCAATATGTAGAGTTTAAGTTATTATCAAGAAAACATTTACCATGATCCACTTAAATATGTGCTACTATTGCTATTTTATCTATAATTTCAGAGTCCTGAATTTAAGGCCATTGGAAAAAGTAGTTCCTCATATCCAATTAATTTTGTATTATCTTTCTATACACTATTGCTCCAAATCATGTTACATTTTCAGTTTTTCTATTTAAATAACCTTTCTTGAATTTTTTTAGCTTTCAATGATGCTTTTTATTTTCACTTAGGAAATTGACATTTCTGTCATCAGATAACTAAGCTTATATACTATATTTCCTTATTATCTAGATTATTCAGTCTATCTCATTCTTTGAAATGAGAAGTCTCAGAACTTCTGGATTTCTACTTCCAATTTAAATTGATTGCTTTGCTTTACAGTTCTCAACTTGCATTTTCTAAGCTTTTTGATTCTCTATGGTGTATGTACAATTTTGAGGTTCAACAAATTCAGGCTGAGATCCACCATTATTATTATCTTTTTGAGTCCTGTTATTTTCTTTTACCTACTGTTTATATCTTCATATTTAAAGTGAGTTTCTTATAGGCAACAAAAGGATGTATCTTGGTGTTTTATGCTGATAATGTCTTTTTATTTGATAAGTGTACATCATTTACATTTAATGAAATTATTGATATAGTTGTGTTTAAATCTACTATCTCATTTTTTAATCTTTTTCTGATTTTTTTTAGTTTTGGACTAAGTGTATTTTAGTATTTCATTTTTTCTTTCTATTGGTTTATTAGCTGTACATTTTTGTGTATGTCTGATTGCCTTAAAATTTTATATTTTTAATCACAGTATAACCCCAGGAAAATTACACCAGTTCACAAATACACACAATCCTGTCAATAATTGGCTTTCACTTCTCTTCGGCCTTGTGTGCTGCTGTTGTCATTCATTTGGCTTTCATATGTTCTAAACTCAACACTACAATACACTGCTATTAGTTTTTCTTTCAATAGTTAATCATCTTTAAAATATGTCAGAAAACAAAAATAAACATTTTGTAATTACTCAGAGTTACATTTCACTCATACTTTGGAGCAGATACAGGTTTTCATACTGTATTGTTTTCCTTCTGTCTGAAGGATGCTCTTTAACAAATTCACAGCATTCCTTTTTACAGGTATGTTGTTAAAATACTGTAATCTGTATGTCCTGATTTTAAAAACTATATTTTTGGTTGGTAGAATAGTCTAGGTTGATTATATTTTCCTATGAGTAGTTTAGGAAAATCCAGTCTTCTGGCTCACATCATTGCTGGCTACATGTCAGCTATCATTCTTTTCTTCTGTGTGTATATCTCTTCCTGCTCACACATGTCCCTCCCTTCTTGATGTGAATTTAAGATTTATTCTTCATAATTGGCTTTAACCATTTGATTATAATGTTCTTTGTCAGACACCGGCCTGAGCGGCACAGGCTCGGAGACGGCGTGACTACACCAAGTATATAACCAGTTTTCATGAAAGCCAACAGAGAAACAAAGCACCTTTTGGTGGGTGGCCTTAGCCAAGCTATTTCTAAGATGGACCTACAAAATCAGTTCAGCAGATTTGGAGAAGTTTCTGATGTGGAGATCATCACATGAAAAGATGACCAAGGAAATGCACAGAAAGTCTTTGCATATGTTAACATTAGAGTAGCAGAAGCAGACCTAAAAAAATAATAATAATAATGTTCTTTGTCATTACTTTTTTCCTCTTTTTCATGTTACTGCATTTGGTGTTTCATTTCCTGGATCTGTAGATTTATTATTTTCAGCAAGTTTGGAAAATTTCCAATTGTTAATTTTGTATTGAACATATTTCAGACTCTGATATTATCTTAAAGCCTGTTAAATCTTATTTTTAATTTTCTTTTCTGTGTGTTTTATTTGATATGGCATCTAATACTATATTATAAGATTTCTAGTCTTTTCTTCTGCAGTGACTAATCTACTGTTAACCCTGTCCAGTTCACATCTTATGTAATTGTTACTAATTTTCCGGTTCACTTCTGGTCATGTTCTTGCTTTTCTATATGTCTTAGTAACTTGTCTCTCATTGCTGACACAAAATACCCGACATCCAAAGTTAAAGAGGAAAAGGTTTATTTAGCTCACAGTTCTTAGATATTTCAGTCCACAGTCAGCTGGCTCCAAGGCAGGGGGGCACATGGCAAAGGAGCAACAGTTCATGGTAACGAAAGACAGCAAAAGCAACAAGGGGCTAGACAAGCCTCTTTCTGTCCCTTATATTGTATCCAGCCTACTGGGATTAGGGTGATGCCAAACCAATCAATGTACTGGTTTAGTAATCACACACCCTTAATCCCAGCATCACACACTCCAGATTTAGCCACTTATGAACACATGAGGCTTTGGGGGGACGTCTAGACCCAAGACACTACATATATTAAACATAGGGAATATATTTATAAAAGTTTTTTGAAATCTATTTTTCCTAATTCCATTATCACTATCATTTCTGGATCTACTTTTTTAAAATTGATTTTTTTCTCCTCATTATCGGTTGTGTCTTCATGGTTGTTTTGCATGCCTTATAATTGCTTATTCTAAGATTAGTAACAATATCTAGGTTGGGGAAAGGAAAGAAGGGGATGGAATTAATATGAGAAAAGGAAAAAAATGGAAACAAAGTCTTTGTAAATAGGGAGGGGTGGAGGGATTGAAGAGAGGGCAGGGGAATGGAGAAAAAATAAGACCCAAGACACATTACATAAAAGTACAAATTTCCAATGATGAATGTCATTATATTGTATACCTAAAATGTACCAATGAAATTAATTAAATAAACAATATCTAAATCTCACCATTGGTTTAAGAAGTAAGTGAAATAATATCACAAAATTGAAAATTGCTTTTTGTTACACTTCTATAGGTTTATATTTCTCTCTGTACATTTTATTTCCTCTTTTTGCAAAACAATTTTTATCATAATGTTTAAAGCTCATTTCTCCATTTATGTTTATCTTGGTTACTTTTCCTATTGCTGAGTCAAAATACCTGACACCTAAAGTTAAATAGGGAAAGATTTATTTGGCTCACAGTTTGTAAAGGTTTCAGTTCATAGTTGTCTGGCTCCAAGGCAGGGTGACATGGCAGGCAGGCATCATAGTGGAGAAACAGTTTATGGCAGGCAGAAGGCAACAAAGCAGCAAAGTAGTAAAGATGCAGAAAACAAGGACAGCAGAACTCTTTTTGTCCCTTGCATTCTATCCAGGTTACAGCCCCTAGGGCAGGCAGCACCCAGGGTGGGCCCTCCCATACTCCACACCCAGAACTATGCCAAACCAGTCAGCAGACTAGGCTAGTAATCACACACCCTTGATACCAGCATCACATACTTAATCCCAGGATCACACGCTGTGATCCAGCCACCTCTGAAAAGCCCCACCTGTGACCACATGAGACTTTTGGGGGACATCTAGACACAGCCATAACAATATTCTAAGTGTTTCTTCAGATACATTTTAACACTTATTGCTCTCCACTTTTCAAATGATATTATTTTCACCTTAATAACTCAGCATGTAAACATAATCTTTCTCATTTTTAAATTCATACTTCTCTACAGCTTATACCCTCCCTTTTCCATTCTCTATAGCTTAGCTTCTCAAAATGAATTAAGATTTTATTCCAAATGTACTAAAAATATTTTTCTGATTCTGGTACAGTGATTTATGTCTTTTTGTCTTGTAATTTTTAGTGAATATTCTTCTTCAGTGAACAATGATTTCTTTGTAAGTCTTATGTGCACTGTGAGTTGGAAGTATTCTTAGAAGGTAGATTTGCCTTTGTGGGTCTACTATCTAGAATCTATAAAGAACTTTAAAAATTCAGACCTCCCAAATTTAAAGACCCAATCCAAAAATGGACATCTGAAATGAACAGACATTTCTCAGACAAAGAAGTAGAAATGGCAAATAAACATATGAAAAAAATGTTCAACATCACTGGTCATTCGAGAGATGCAAATGAAAACAACATTGAGATTCTACCTCACCCCAGAAAGAATGGCTGCCATCATGAAGTCAACCAATAACAAATGCTGGCGGGGCTGTGGGGAAAGAGGAACCCCGTTCCACTGCTGGTGGGAGTGTACACTGGTTAACCACTGTAGAAATCAGTATGGAGATACCTCAAAGAACTAGGACTGGAAGTCCCATTTGACCCAGTTAATCCCCTGTTGGGTATCTTCCCCAAAGAATTAAAAGAATCATACCACAGTGAGATATGTGCACCCATGTTCATAGCAGCACAGTTTGTAATAGCTAAAGCTTGGAAACAGCTCAAGTGCCCATCAACTGGAGACTGGACAAAGAAGATGTGGTTTTCTTATAAAATGGAGTAGTACTCAGCCATAAAGAATGAAAAACTAGAGACATTTATAGCTAAATGGATGTACATTGAGGCCATACTCTTAAGTGAAATAAATAGGACACAGATATGTAAATACCGAATAGTTTCTCTAGTGTGAGAAGCTGAAAGTGTAAATAAGGGCTAAAAGGTATAATAGATAATGTGAAATAGGAAGAAAAGGAGCAAAGGGGAAGGGGAAGTGGGAGGGGTAGGGTAAAGGAAAGAAGGGAATGGAAATAATAATGAGAAAGTAGAAAAATGGAAACAACATCTTTGTAAATAGGGAGGGATGGAGGGGTTGAAGGGAGGGCAGGAGAATGGGGAAAAAATAAGAACCAAGAGAGATTATGTAAAGGTGCAAATTTCCAATGATGAATGTCATTATACTGTATACCTAAACTGTACCAATAAAAAAAAAAAAAGATTTGCCTTTGTGTATCCTGGGAATCCAAAAGCGTCTAAGAAGCCAGACCTGTTTTCATAAGAATTTCTCATTTGAATTTCAAGACTTATCCAAAAAGGCGTATATGAAACTCTCATTTGCATACATTATAAATTATAATTATGAATCACCTAAGACATATACTGCCCAGGTAAGTTTTATTTATTCTGGTTTTTGTGATGAGTTATACTGAATTCTTGTAGAAAACTCTATTTGTAGCAACTTTTTTATGTGTGAATCTCGTTTCACATTCTCCAGCAAACACTAAAGCTTTAGTTTTTAACTTACATTATGATTTGCCTTATCCCTTTGGGAGAACTATATTTTGCTTTCTCTCTTTTCTCTTATTTTGCATGTCTGCTTCAATCTTGGCATATAAAGATTTTTCTTACTTGAAAGTTTGTTATTTCATTTATTATTTTATATATTTAAAAAAGAAAAGAGAAATTCCTGCATATGTTCTATATAGCATGGTGAATACTCAGTCCTTTAGAATATGGTGGCAGCTCAAACCCCTGTATGGATTCTGTTTCTATTAAACAAACAAAAAAAAAACTAACACAAAGAACACATGCCTGATTTTGCCAGAGAGGTGGCTAATTACTTTTAGTTCATGCGATATAAGCCCTTTCTGGCTTTCTACATTTATAGGCATTTTTCCATTTACTCTCATCACTGTTTTTCTTTTTGAGACTGCCAATTTATTATCTGACTCTTGTCTGCTCACCATGGATAATTTTATGGATTTATGGTATAATTGAATGGTTTTAAACAATATTATCAGAGATAATCTCTTCTAAGATTTAAAATGAACTTATGTGAATACTAGGTATCTGTTAGCTATTTTCATGTCAACCAACATATTAGAAAACAAATGTTATCCCATTGCCCTCCCAGGTGTACTCTGACAATCCTTGCCCCCAACTTTCTCCCTTCCTGACTACTCCTGATTCTTCTTATTGACTGCTTAATCCCAGTAAATGGCACTCTTCACCCCTCACCTCCTTATTCAAGTCACTTCTCTGGAAATCCTTTTGCTTGCTTCCCTGGATGCAGTTTCAAAAATAAATGTGTCATGTCAGTTTCTTCCCCTGAAGCTGTTATAGTCAATCCATTTCTCTCCATGCCCATTCATACTATTTCCTCTTTCTCACCTTGACTTACGGTGAGATTCTTACATGTGTCCAGACATAGAGTTCTGCCACTTCACAGTAAACTGCACTTTTCAGAGGACATATTCAATCACAATAGTCTTCTGCTTAAAGTCTTTTAACCATGATGATGCCCAAGCCTGGGATGCCTTCTCTGTCCTCTCCTCTTCACTTGAAGGACACCCTCTTATCTTTTAATACTCAGATTAGTGTTTATCCAGGAGACCTTCTCAGACATTAAAGTTGACCCTTTATTTTTCTGACCCCTGTGCATGTTTTTGTCACATTTATCACATCATGCTTTCCTGTACACAGCCTCACTGGAGAGACAGCCCTTTGAATGTAACACTATGTATCTAGTGATATGTACGGGGCCTTGCACATAATAGGTAGGCACATAGTAAGACATGTTATATTTTTACAGACAAATAATGTTTCCATTTATGTCATTGTATCCAAAGCCAACATAATGTTATTTTGGTAAAAAGTATTCCTCAGTACAAATATTGTTTAAAACATAGTTTTACATTATTTTTCATATCTGTGATACTTCATTACAGTTGTAGTTTGAAAATACTAATTAAAGGTGTTTTATTTTAAATTTGCTATAGAGTTTATTATAGCTTCTCTTCAAATACTTACCAGTTGTCTGATTATTTGGCAGCAGAATCTGCTGAATGATCTTTCTCTACACTTTTAAAATTTTCACCAAAATAATCATTGTGCTGATTGTATAGATTTCCAAAGAATAATATTTAAAGTTATGCTTTGTTATGTAACTATACTTCATAATTGAATAAAATATTACAATTTGACTGTGAAAGTGCTTTTAACTTTTATCTGACCACTTTTAGGATTTACATGACTTTATTTTGATGACTGCTATAACTGATTTCAGAAAGTAAAGCTTCATCACGGGGAAATATTTAAAAATATCTTCAGAGATATTTCACATGGAAAGATTATATATGTCAATATGGTAACCATAAATCAAAATATAAGTAGAGATTATAGAATTTTTCCCTCAGATCCCCAAATCAAAGTAGTAATCATGGAAGGGAGTTTCATAGAAAGAAAACTAGAGTAAAAATAGAATAAAATATTTCACATAACCCCCATTAAAATATTTTCCCTAAAAATTTATTTTTTAACACTCTAATGGTGGACTCAGATATTTAC